TATATATATATATTTATATATATATATATATATATATAATCATAATGACAATGATGATGTTTGTATGCTTTGCTATGCTCAACATAGAAAGATAATGAATGATATAAAACAATAAAAATATTTTTTTTAAAGAAATAGAGATAAATCTGCTATGTGAAGGCATACTGAATATAAGAAATCTAACTTTGTAAACCAATAGTTTTTGACACATTTCTTGGACTAGAAAAAGTTGCTAAAGACCATAGTGATGAAGGACCAGGATATTAAGTTCAGATTGTCATATATTGGGTTTGAATGTCACATATTATAGCCACTGGGTAAGTAATTTGAAATAAGACATAATCTTTTAAGTATGGACCTATAGCATATATAGATAATATCTACTTTAGACAATTAATGAAGTATATTATACAATCTAACCAAATTTTAAATGTTAGAATATGTTTTTTTTTTTTTAAATATGCACTAACAGGAAATTTGAACATTTGATACTATGTCATGAATTTATTTTAGATGAAGCTACAGATATTGTATATTTTGGAAGATCTTCTAAGAGAAAAGACCCTAAAATGATTGGACGTTATGGCAATGGACTGAAATCGTAAGACTGACTTCTTTCAACACTTTATTATATCATTTTTATTCTGGTTGTCTTAAAGTTCAGGAAGAAATATATACAATGCCAAAGTTTTGCAGGTTAAGTGCTAGAAAAATAAACTTTTGCACCAAATCTAACAGTAACTACTATCACTGATAATATCTTTATTACATACATATATTACATACAAACCTATGCAAACTCGTGAAGCAATATATAAGCAATGCTGTTATATTTGGAAAAATGTTTTATTTAAAATAGGTAACAAATGTATTTATGTACATAAAAGAAAGTTGCAGTCAGTGTGAAAGCAAAATAGATTTTAGTTATATTGCTGCAAAATACGATGATAACCTTGACAACATCAACAAAGCAAAACATAATTTTCATTGTTCCATAAATAATGGGGGGGGGAAGCATTAATAGATATACTAATTTGGTTTTTAAAAAAAACAAAATCCAAGGCCAGTTTATCATAAATACTGAGGAGAACCTTGCCATGTGTGTGGATAGGATGGGTGTACATTTTTGTAGTAAGTGGCTACAATCTAAAATCACGATGAAACAACCTTCATTCTTATTCAGATTCTGCCGTATGTGAGTACCGGTAGATAGGTGATGAGAAGGAGACTGAATGGCTAATTAAGCAGCTGTTAGATGGGGAAATGCACAGAAAAGAGTAGGATACAATTCAAAGCTACAATTTGAAAAGGATAATCCTGATATTCCACCCTGGATTCTGAACGGCAGCAGAGAAAATAAAACAGTCAGAAAGGGGTATGTGAGAAAAAGGAGACAGTAAAGGAAGCTAACTAAATATATTATTAAATTCTGACTCTTGCATTTATATCTTACATGAATCTGTCTGGTATTATCCATTTTTTAAATCAAGAAGGTAAAGAAAAAAAGAAAACTATTCAGATTCATTGTTCCGATTCAATAATCCATATTTTAAAAATGATTTCTCCCCCCCTCCCCTATATTTTTACTACAGAGGATCAATGCGTATAGGGAATGACTTGATATTATTTACCAAAAAAGAGAATACAATGACGTGTCTTCTTTTCTCTCAGACGTTCTGTGAAACAGAAGGTCTCAGTGAGGTATGCTTATTCATAACTACATTTTGAAGTATTTATTTCCCATTTTTATATCCTGGTAAGAACATCAAGTTGGTTCAGATATTGTTATGTAATTAAAACATGACTGTGTATAGACTGAAATAGCACTAACACTGAAATGCAAAGAAACCCAAAGAAATATTATATATTGTATTTATATTTTTGTCATTCCTTCCTACTTACATAAAAATGCGGTGTCTATTCATGTTGCCTTTGTGTTACTTTTCCAGGTCATTTTTATATAAATGAAAAATGCTTTAAAATCCCAATGAATCCTCCACCACAAAATATATGAATTAACTTGTATCCAAAAAAAGAGTCTCTGTAACATGCAACCACTTTGTATGTTTCATTCATGGGCTTTGATCCTTGCAAGTCAGCTGATTCTTTTTTCCCAATCCCACATAATACTTAAAATAAGCTTATAAAAATTATTTATTGCATATGGGGATGTGAGTAGCACGCTCATGTATTTTTACAAAAATGACTACCTGATTAGGGAATTCCCCATTCATAAATTGGATGTAATTGTGGGGGCAGTTTGACTTAAAACTTGCAGTTACCAGGAGATAAAATGGATTAAGCCATGTCCACTGGACCATTTGGGATAGAATCTAGGCAGCACCCATGCTTATTCTTTATGTTATAAGAATACTTATGGGTTTATATATGTCTTAGGTAAGTGATGGCTAACCTTTTTGTTGTTGTGTGCCAAATGCACATGCACAAAAGTGCACATACGTGCTTGCACTCATAATGCAATGTGCGTGTGACTCCCCCGTGCACCCCACCTCCCCGTGCATGCATGTGCAACCTCCACATATGTGCCCTTCTCCCTGCAGATGTCTGCGTGACCCCCACACATGTGCGTACAACTCCCCCATGCCCTGTTTTGAGCCTGGAAGGCTTCCTGCACCACCCTGGAAGCCCATTCAGGATGCGGGGGGAATGCGTGCCCCCAACCATGCCTCGTTTCGGGCCCAGAAGGCCTCCTGCATCAAAACGTGGTGCAGGGGTGCCGCGCAAGTGCCCCCCGTGCATGTGCCCCACCCCTTGGGCATGCACATCCCTGCATGTGCCTCGCTCCCCCCGCGCATACATAGCAGAGACCTGAAGACCAGCTGGCTGGCAGGAGGTGTGAGCATATGCACAGTGGATCCAGGCTGAGGTGATAGTTGGCATACCCGCAGAGAGGATTCTGCATGCCACTTGTGGCACGTGTGCCATAGGTTTGAAATCACGGTCTTAGGTGTTCAAAGATAAAGATGATACTGATATTTAACCCTCAACACCCAGTTGTATTTGTAAGCATTATTGTGTGTATTTTCACCCATCACAAAAAGAGCAGCGAATCTGGCAATAAGATTTTCAAGACACATGTATGCCCCAAATATGCTGTGTTGGTTACCAGTCTTAGCTGCAAAAATAGATATATCAGAATGATTTAAATATATCAGAATTCAAGGATCAGCCTCAGCAGAGATTGTTTTATAAAACGTGCTATTTGCATACACCATTAGCCTTATATTGAAAATTGATTAAAATACAACTCCAGGCACCATCGAACAGAAGTACAAATACTGCTCTATAAATCTGTATTCTATTGTCATTTCCTATAATTGAGAAATACCTTTGAATGAATAGGTAGACATAGTAAAATACGCTTCTAGATTCTGTTTCATTTTATTTTAGATACCTTTCTGTCCTGGCAAGTTTAAAATAACAGACTTTATCACATGGAATCAGCAATTGAATCTTAATTAAGGCAATAGTTTGCTCCAGAATTAGACAAAAGAGTCATTTTTCTGCCTTCAACATTTTAATTAAAATCTACCATTAAAAATCTGGTTTTGCAAACTACTTAAATGGGTAAGATTTTAAGAAAGGAACCTAACAGTTTCAGTTTTTTCTATCTTTAACCCTGCCTTGTACTCTCACCTCAATATGTGCAACTTTTTTTAAAAAAAATTCTGCACTGGAGAAGACAATGTCATTAGCCTAGAATATCTGTGTCCCATATCCTATCCAGAAGGAGCAGTTCCTTAATATAAGGAAACTTGTATGAAAGTTTTAGAACAAATTGCTATAATGATTATAAATGACGGCTACTGTCATAAGTCTTGCCCCTTCGTTTCTCATTAAACAGATGACAATGGAAGAGTGGATAATGACTAAGTATGTGCTTCTCTGAAGATGGTGTGTCTGTTATTTCTGCCTGGCCACTCTGCTGTGACAGTGATTGATGGGATGTTTTGAACATACATCTGATTCTAGGGCAGAAAATCATGTTCCCATTTAGAAATAATGTTTTGCCTGAGGACCTAATTTTAACCCATTGAAGAAATGTGGGAAAGAGAAGGCTGAGCACACAAATATAGGTCAGGTTCTTAGTATTGAAAGTAGCCATCTATGGCCCAGGTTGCAAACAGTTCCCAAAGCATATTTTTCATGCCCCTCTTGCTACTACTGTGTTCGAACAGTATAATTATTACACATGGAACACATGGTTGATAAACATTTTGAGGCATTACAGACAAAAACTGTAAAGTAAACCCAAAAGATTTGAAATAAACTCTCAAGAGAAAAAAGAGGAAATATCTATAGCAGTGTTTATCAACCTAGGCAACTTGAAGATGTCCGGACTTCTGGGAATTCTGGGAGTTGAAGTCCAGACATCTTCAAGTTGCCAAGGTTGAGAAACACTGATCTATAGTATCCACATGTGTGATTGCTTATTTGAAGTGAAGCTCTCTTTATTTCCAGATGTTAATGGTATCAGTTAATAATCATAACTGGGCCTGAACTTTTGATTACAGATCGTTGCAGTTGTCCCCATCTGGTCATTTCGATTCGGGTCACCACATGACCTGACTTAATTTTTACAACTGTTTTGAGGATGGCTGTAACCAAGTCACCATGGCTGTTAAGTGAACTGTGAAAGCAAACCATGTGGTCATTAAGCAAATTCAACAATCACCG